TTGGTCCCTGGACTATTGTACGGACCCCCGATTTGGTTCCTAAACTAAAAAAATTCCTGATTTGGTCCCTACTGTTTATCATTTTTACCCCGATTTGGTCCTTCCGTTAAAAATTGTGTGACGTGGCCTGTTACTTAACGGTTACCAGATGACATGTCATATAGTAATCCATGTGGAAGATAATATAACCAAAAAGTGATGATGTGGAAAAAAAATAATATAAAAAATTAAACTTAACATTTTTTTTCTTTTTTCTTTTTTCTTTCTCCTTCCCCTTTTCCTTTCTCTTTCTCCTCCCCCTTTCTCTTCTTTTTCCCCTCGGAACCCAGCAGGCCTAGGTTCCTTCGAACACACCCAGGCGCTGGGTTCCTTGCGAACCCAGGCGCTGGGTTCGCAAGGAACCCAAGCATGCTGGGTTCGTGTTTGGGTTCACAACGAACCCAGCATGCCTGGGTTTGGTGGAACCCAAGCGTGCTGGGTTCGCATCTGAGTTTGCACCGAACCCAGCATGCTTGGGTTTGGTGGAACCCAGCACGCTTGGGTTCGGTTCCTTGCGAACCCAGGTGCAAAAAATTTTTAAAAGAAAATTTCTGTTTTTGTGTTTTGGATTTTGTTGTTTGATTGTGATAAAAATTGATTGATGAAGATGAACAGGGCAAGGGCAAAGCAGTTGCTGGTTATTGCAGGTGTTGGGTTCGATTTTTTAATTTCGAATGCTAGGTTTTTGCAGGTGCTGGGTTCGTTTGCAGGTGCTGGGTTGGAAATCGAACCCAGCAGGCGGTGGGTTTGAGGCTCTGGGTTTCGTTTCGAACCCAGCAGCCGTTGGGTCAAATATCTATTGAGTTTAATATGTTGATTTGTTGTGTTATCCTCGAAGTTAATATTAGGAGTTAGGGTTTGCAGAAGGTTAAAAGGAAGGGAGAGGAAGAAGAAAGGGAAAAAGGAAAAACAAAGCAAGAAAAAAAAAAGGAATAACAAATTTTTTAAGATTTTTTTCTCGCCATCTCATTTTTTTTGTCACTGTACATCTTAGGTGTCAAAACGTTTTTACATGTCATAGTTTTCCCCGTCAAGTAACGGGACACGTAGGTTGATATTTGACGGAAGGACCAAATCGGGGTAAATATGGTAAACAGTAGAGACCAAATCGAAGATTTTTTTAGTTTAGGGACCAAATCGGGGGTCTGTACAATAATTCAGGGACCAAAAAGGGTTTTAACCAAAAAAAATTTGTTTAGTAAGGGTTTGTCCAAATTGATTCTTTTCTTCACAAGGAGAGAGTAAAAGAAACTTGTCTCCTGGTGAAAAAGGGAAAGCAAAAAGAAGAAATGTTTTTGAGTTGAGTCCTTCATGAACACATAGAATCAAAAGATGAAACTTCCCTGACGATGAAGGGGTTTTTTTTTTTTTAGGTATATTGGATGAAAGGCTGTGTAACAAAGGATGACCCTCCCCTACCCAAACCCTTTCCCAACTATCTCATGATTCAAACTTGAGATCTCCAAGACCCTTTCCCAATTATCTCATGATTAAGATAAAGACTCAAGTTCTTAATCTTAATCTTTAATGATCATCATAATATATTTAAAAAATGCATAAAAGTAAATGAGTTTTTGTTTAGAGTTGCAAAATCTATAAAAATCAAAACCAAAATCCCAAAACCACAATCATACTAAACAGTCCCTTTGTTGTTGTGTCATTTAAGATTTTACACATGCACAGTTTCATTTTCCATGTCAGTATTAATAATTAAAACATATAAAATACTTAACTAGAAACAGTGCCATGTCATCATTTAGCTGACGGAGTGATCCAAAAATGGCCAAAAAAGTAATTTTAAAAGACAAAGAAAAAGGCTCCTTACAAAAGTTGAGGACCAAAATAGAACTATTTTAACCTTTTTTTTACTACCTTCGTTTAACTTTAGATGTCATACTTTGATTGTCTATTTTTCCGTCTGAAGATATCATCTAATGTTTCTATTCTTATTTTACCCTTATTTTAAAATGATAATTATAACATAAATTACTATAAGTATACTTCTTTAAGTAGGGGTTAATGAGGGATAAATATATGAAATTATATCAATTTATTATTACTCTTTGTGTCTTAAAATAAATATAATAATTTTTTTCTCATTTTTTAAGGTAAACAATAATTTTTTTCTTAGTTTTACCCTTTCATTATTTATTTACTTTAAATAATCATCCTATCATGAAAAGTCTCTATTTTTTTAAGAGTAATAAAGGTAAACATATAAATTGTCCTCAAATCCCTAATTAAAAAAAAAATGACTGTTATTTTGAGACAAGAAAAGTATATCTCTAATTTATTGAATAAAAATACTAAAGTAACTAAAATTGATTGGAGAGTATCTTTTCTAACTTGAAATTGATGTATCCTTGATTAGTAAGGGTCTGTCCAAATTGATGCTTTTCTTCACAAGGAGAGTGTAAAAGAGACTTATCTCTTAGTGAAAAAGGGAAAGAAAAAAAGAAGAAATATGTGTTTGAGTTGAGTCATTCATGAACACACAGAATCAAGACAGGAAACTTTCCTAATGTTGTAGGGTTTTTATTTTTTATTTTATTTTTATTTTTTATGTATATTAGATGATATGCTATATAACAAAGGATGACCCTCCTCTGTGTAAACCCCTTTCCAACCATTCCATGATTCAAATTTGAGATCTCTAAGATAAAGACTTAAATTCTTAATTTTATTCTTATTTCACTAATAATCATCATAACATGTTACAAAAATGTGTAAAAGTAAACAAATTTTTGTTTAGTAAGGGTTGATTTGATCTGTCCAAAATGATGCTTTCTTCACAAGAAGAGTGTAAAAGAGACTTGTCTCTTAGTGAAAAAGGGAAAGAAAAAAGAAGAAATGTGTTCGAGAGTCCTTCATCAGAATCAAAAGATGAAACTTTCCTAACGATGTAGGTTGTTTTATTTTTATTTTTTATTTTTATTTTTATTTTTTAAAGTATATTGAATATAAAAAAGGTGATCCTCCCCTGCCCAAAGCCCCTTCCCAACTATCCCATGATGATTCAAACTTGATTCAAACTTGAGATCTCAAAAATAAAGACTCAAGTTTTTAATTTTAATCTCTAAAAATCATCATAATATGTTGAGGAAATGCGTAAAAGTTAATGCGTTTTTGTTTAGAGCTGCAAAATCTATAACAATCAAAAACCAAAATTCCAAAACCACAACTATACTAAACGGAACTTAGGTTGTTGTGTTATTTAAGATTTTACAGCTGAACTATTTTATTTTCCATGTCAATATTAATAACTAAAAGAAATAAAACACTTAACTAGAAACAGTATCATGTCATCATTTAGTTGATGAAGTGACCAAAAAAGTAATTTTAAAGGACAAAAAAAACCTTACAAAAGTTGAGGACCAAAATAGATCTATTTTAACATTTTTTTTTCTTGCTACCTTCGATTAACTTTAGATGTCATACTTTCTAATTTGAGGCATTCAAAATTAATTGTCTAGTTTTGTTTTTGAAGATATCATTTAATATATTTATTTTTATTTTACCCTTATTTTAAAATGATAATTATAACACATATTACAATAAGTATACTTATTTAAGCAGGGGTTAACGAGGGATAAATATATGAAATCTTATTAACTACTAATTACTCCTTTGTCTTAAAATAATTGTATTAATTGTCTTTTTTTTTTCATTTTATAAGGTAAAAATTTTTTTTTCTTAGTTTAACCATATGATTATTTATTTATTTTAATTAATCATCTTATCATAAAAAGTCTTTATTCTTTTTAAGGGTAATAAAGGCAAACATATAAATTGTCTTCAAATCCCTAATTTGAAGAAAAGAAACAAAAAAGTGACAGTTACCTTGAACCAAAGAAAGTATATATCTATTTAATTGAAAAAAAAAAAAAACTAAAGTAAGGCGATTGGAGAGTATCTTTTCTAACTTGAGATTGAAGCAGCTTCTTCGTGACAAAATGACCGTAAACCCCATTTACTTTCCCTTTTTTGTTCCTCTTACCAACAACTTTGGCCTCCGAATTCTCTTCCAAAGAAAACCCATCATTGTACCCTCATTCTGATAGTTAATTTTTCTAAGCTCTAACTCCATGATGAGCAAGATAGAGCGCGGGATTGGTTGCAAGACACGTTTGGGTAACATTTCTTTCGTCTCATATCACACATATTTTGTTATGCATTTCATAATGACTAAATATATAGTTCACTCTTTCTCAAAATTCTTTCGCAATCATCTAAAGGTATATAAGTCTAAAACTATTAAAAACAGGGGGACAATACTCCCACCTTAGATTTATATGTATCTCTTTTTTTTTCACCAAAAAATGGTATGATCTATTATAGTACACCTTAATGCTCCTGTAATCAATTGTATATTTTTAGCATGTTTTGATATTTTGAAAC